AACTGAGAGAATGGCCTATTCTGATGATCTCAGCCTCCAATTCACATGAAGACATAATTTGGAACTAAGATGGACAGTGTTTTGTAAGTCATTACCAGCACTTTGAATTGTCCCTAAAAACAGACCAACACTCAGTGGGGCATGTTGTTTCTCTGCTGCAATAAAAACTCTGCTGGATTTACAAAAACCTGCTCCTCCAACACCAAACAGGTTCCAATAACCAACTCCAGTTAACCATCTGGCTTTGTACAAACAGAAATTTCTCAACAGTTTTCAAAGACACCCCAAATAAGAGTACTTTACAGAAATCTATATGGGATGTTAACTAAAGCATATGTAACCATGGCCAGATCAATGTTATGACAATTGGCACATTATTTTTAATTGAAAAAATGTTCTTCTGGCCATTGCAGTACCTAGACATCCAGGATCAAGGCTGGATACACCCAATCTAACAAAGGCTCTGTCTCTATTCCCTTATACACTTTTTGACACCAGACAAGGTTATGACCTATAAAACACTGTTCATCTTAGGTCCAAATTATGTCTGAGTACACCCAAGCTGCATCTTCATGGAGAGTGTAAGCCCACCTAACACAGGCTCTGTCTCTATTCCCTTATATACTTTTTGACACCAGACAACACAAAGCATCTATGTCTTGTGTGAATTAGGATTCAGTTTCATTGCTCTCATTCAGTGCACTGCTGATGCCAGATGCTGGTTTAGAACCAAAATATCTCCCTTGGAATTTGGTGGGAAAGAGTTAGGATCATCAGCATACTGATGGCACCAAACCTCAGTCCTCTGGGCAACCTCTTCCAGTGGTTTCATGTAGATGTTGAACAACATGGGGGACAAAAAAGAGCCTCAAGGGACCCCATAGACCGGTAACCAAGGAGTTGAACAAGGATCCCACAGCATCCCATAACCAGCCATGAAACCAAACTGAAATGGATCTAGATAATCTGTCTCAACCAGGAACCTTTGGAGAAGGGAAGCCAATACCTAATAATAATAGTTTGTCCCAAAACAGAATGTTGGACGCTGGTTGATATTTATACATTATAGAACTATTCAGGGAAGGCTTTTCCAACAGTCATTACAGCTGCTCCTTTTGGGCATTTTGGAACCCTGCACTGTTGTAATAGGGCAATAACTATCTTTTTTACCCACTTGGCCAATCCTCCTCTGGCTTGTACAGTTGGCTATTCGTATCCGTAGGGGTTCTGTTCTAGACAGTCCCCCCCCCCCCCACCGACAGTAAAATCTGTGGAACCTCAAGTCCCATTCTTCCCAATGTGTGCGCTGTTGTGTTGGAACAGCCCTGTGAGTGCATCGCCATTGGGAAGAATGGGGCGGATGCTCTAATTTGCAGATAGCAAGCCCGCAGAAGAGAAGAGCACACTGTATAATAAGCCAAGAAGGGCAAGGGATTAGTGCACATGCAATCTCACTTCTCCAAGGATTCTATTTACATCCTTGGGGTTGTACAAACTAAAAATAATGCATTATTATTGGACAAGCATTGCCCAAAGTTATATCTATTGGGACTGTATCAAATGTAACACTCAAGTCAGAATTGATATAAGTGATTTTCATCTGCAAAATACAACAAAAAATATTCACAGTGGGATGAGTAGACTATGGGAGGATGCAGACCAGCACTTTAGGCCAGCCTGGAGATGGAGTTGGGGCGGGGCAACCGCACGCCCAGCTGCCCCGAATCCACCCTGACTCTGCTCCTATGCCGTGTGCCCAACTGCATGGTGTGCAGCATCAGGGCGCCCCTTTGGCGCAGCATGCCGTCATGCTGTGTTAAAGGGGCACAAAAGAGTCACAGCGACGGCTCTAAAGGCGGCTTTTTGCCACCCCAATAAGGGGCGGCATTTGCCCACTTTTTGGGGGGAGGCAAGCATCGTGGGCGCAGCATGTAGTGGGTGTGGCCTCGATCCGCCACTCCCAGGGGCGGCACAGAGCCGTCCCTTACAGGTCGTCTGCATTGGCCGTATGTGCACTACTTGGAGGCCACAATGTAATAGATCTCTGACCACTCAAAACAGCTGTATGTGACAGTGGAGTAATGGCAGAAAAGAATAATTACTTTGCTACTCCCCAAGACGCAAAGCAGGCCTTCATATAGGCTCTAGCCCAGGGGTAGGCAACCTTTCCCCTTTAAGGGCTGAGGGAATTCAGCTCCCAGAAGCCTCAGCCATGTTGGCCAATAGTCCCATGTTGGCCAATATCTCCTGGGATTCTGGGAGCTGAATTCCCTCGGCCCTTAAAGGGGAAAGGTTGCCTACCCCTGCTTTAGCCTGTGTTTGCTCATATTCACCCTGCATCTTCTGCCAATGTAATTCTAGTCCCCTTCTCACTCATTTCATCACTGCCAGCTCTTTGGAAAAACTGGTGGCTGATTTGAGTCTATTGTGCAAGTGTACATTCAAGAGTAATCATCCACTTCTTGACCAGCTCCCTATTCCAGAGATCAAACAGGGCTTTGACAGAAAGGCCCAATGAAATGATAGGAAAATCCCCCAAAGCCACCAGGGGTCCATCAACCTCCTAAGGCAGACTATCCCGCATCCTTGCAGAGGTTCTGTGTCCCAGTACATTTAAACTCCACTAGACAGTAATCTGTTCATAAGCTCTTTTTTTTCTTTTCTTTTCTTCTTTTCTTTTCTTTAAGAGCAAGGGATTTACCTGCCCAGTAAAAGACGGATGAGGGGTAGGCAAATGGAATCAGGCAGCAGCCACTGGAGTTGTAGAGGGCAGAGTGACATGCAGAGGCCAGAAATAACTGTGTTGTCATGGAGGAAGGCAGTGCAACAGAGTGTTGATTGTCTCCCACACCATAACAATGGAACTCCAGAGTGTTCCTTCACAGCCAGACCACCATCATCCCATCCATCACAGAAAACAAGGTCCAGACTATGATGAACAACATGAATGGAGTTAGTTACTATTTGAGACAGATGCATGGTTGTCATGGCATCCATATAGTCTTGAATAATTCTTCTCAGGGCAGTTCCAGCATGGATGTTGAAGTCCTCCAGCACCACAAGCTGAAGGGACTCCCAACACCAATCTGAGACCATCCCAGATAGCTCAGGAAAGGAGACTGTTGAGTAGTGGGATGGGTGATATATTAACAGAATTCCTATTCTGACTACCCATCCTCAGATACACACACCCAAAATCTGCTGAGGGACAGGGCATCTGGTTAGGGTGATGGAATCATGGCAAAACACTGTAACTATGCCTCCCCACTCCCCAAGTCTTACCTGTTGCTGCACAGAGAATCTTGGTGGCCAAAGCTGAAGATATTACCACTCCAGCCTCATCTAACTACTTCTCTGTAGATATATACCAGTTTGGCATCTCATCCAGAATCAAATTCCAGATAGCTGTTACTTTCCTTTTAATCAAGCTGGCATTCAAAAGCAGCATTTTCAATGCAGGGAAAATTTCACCAATGCTATCCAGGCTATTTGAGCTGGGAGATAGTTTGGGAGACAATCAACACCCTGTTGGATCCCCTTCCTCCATGATAGCACCATTATCTCTGGCTTCTGCATCTATCTCTGCCCTCTACAACTCCAATGGCTGCTCCCTGATTCCATCTGC